ATTGTTGATTACAAGGTTGTCTCATTTTAGACATTATGTGATTAGGAAATTCTATGAAAGTACAATATAAACACATCAGGATTTGTTCAGGTTTTTTTGTTATTATCTTGCTAGGTTCATACAACCTATCACATGCTAGACAAGTTGCATAATTATTTATGCGTAAACCTAAACCCATTAACTTTCTGGCCAAATAGAGTAACTTAGAAAAGTTTTTAAACTAATCCTGATCAAGATATGTCAATAGATAATGAATAAATTTAACTAATGATTCTTTTGCAGTATCAGATAACTGATATCTTTGTTGATATCTTAGGATCCAAATTAATATCCAACCAAAGCTATTGTCAAGATTATCAATATGTTCAAATTCTTCTTCATATTTGTTTTCAATATCAGGAGCAGAATAGTTCATTATGGTTTTCTCATCATCACTATTAGGCTATATTTCTGCAACTTCTTCATTATCAGAGATATTTAAAGTCTCAAGAACTATATCAATATTAGGTTGTTCTCTAATTATAGCTTTCACTTTTTTTTTTTTGTTTTTAGTTACAAGAAATGATTCTTGAAATTCAGAATCAAGTAAAGTAGGTGAAGAGATATTAATTGAAGATATACTGCTAGGTCCTATTTGAGGATCAGTTGAAAAAGGAATATCAGAATGAGGTTCATAAGAACTTAATAATTCCTTACAAATTCTATATTTTGCAATATGTGCATCTTTTGTTCAGGAATTATAGGGTTCTTTTTCACCTTTGTATATATTATATAAGCAAATAATCTTTTTTCAAGTTTTTGTTGCAGGTAATTTAATAAATATTTGATGACTCATTTTTAAAGTATTTTAAGAGTTATAATGTTAGATATCAGAAGGCAAGGCAGACAAAAAGTCTTTAAATACAAAATTTTGTAATATATTTTATTATTTGCTATATTATTATAATTTTTTACAGTGATTAAAAATAGATACAAAAGATATCTTATTAAAAAATTAATAAATTCCCTTTTATGTCTCATATTTTTAACTACAGGTCAATAGAAATCATTTAAACTTTCCTTTAACAATACATTCTTAAAAGTTTTTTGCAACAAATTTTAAACTATTAGTACTATTAAAGAATAAAAACCTCAAAGAATGGTTGTTTACTACATATAAACCAGAACAAGAATATTAGTAATTTAGTCTATCAAAAATAAACAAAAAAAAAAATAGTATTAAATTGCTATGTGACTTTCCAAGATAAGCATAAACTTATTGTACTATACAAGTCTAACTTAAATAAGTAATATAATACGTATCATTATAATATATATAATAATTAAAGAGTACAATTTCAAGAGAT